GAATTCTACACCACATTAACGTCAGCTGGTCCTTACTGAGAATGTACTTAACAAGAATTCTACACCACATTAATGCCAGCTGGTCCTTACTGAGAATGTACTTAACAAGAATTCTACATCACATTAACATCAGCTGGTCCTTACTGAGAATGTACTTAACAAGAATTCTACACCACATTAACGCCAGCTGGTCCTTACTGAGGATGTACTTAACAAGAATTCTACGTCAAGTACATTCTCGGTAAGGACCAGCTGAAGTTAATGTGGTGTAGAATTCTTGTTAAGTACATTCTCAGTAAGAACCAGCTGACGTTAATGTGGTGTAGAATTTTTGTTAAGTACATTCTCAGTAAGAACCAGCTGATGTTAATGTGGTGTAGAATTCTTGTTAAGTACATTCTGAGTAAGGACCAGCTGACGTTAATGTGGTGTAGAATTCTTGTTAAGTACATTCTCAGTAAGGACCAGCTGACGTTAGTGTGGTTTGTTAAGTACATTCTCAGTAAGGACCAGCTGATGTTAATGTGGTGTAGAATTCTTAGAATTAACACCACATTAACGTCAGCTGGTCCTTACTGAGAATGTACTTTCCAAGCACTTTAATTACAGCTAGTAAAACAGCATTACTTATTTTTTAATTTTAGAGAAGAGCCAGAAACGTATATAGTCAGCTAAGTACGTACAAGTTGTTTGGTAATGCTATTTCATTGTGTGTACACAAACCTTAGATATAAATATAATATTTGTGTACAACAGGTCTAACCTTTCCATACACTAGTATTTATGCATTCCCTCCAGACAGAATATAAGGAGCTTAGCAGAACATAAAGAAAACAGAAATATGTAGAATGGGTATCAAATGTTTCACAGACTTACTAGTGAGAAAATCAGAGCTCCCAGGGATGCATAAACAAGACTTACTACCTGCAAGGGAGAAAAATGTCATAAAATAATGACTTGTGTATTGCAGTAAATTACACATTATAACATAACATAACTTACCCTATTTTCCAAGCAGAAGAAAAATCCAAGGTAACCAGTATTTTAATTGATAGTTAGATCTTGGCATTTAATGATTTAGAAGTTTTCATAGTTTTTACTTTTTTTTAATTACTTGTACATTTTGAAGTGAAAACTGTTCCTAAAACATTAATTTTTTTTTCAGTTGCTTAAGTTATCACTAAAATTTATGTTCAAATCTAGTTTGTGATTAGTAAGCTTAATTAGTCAATAAAAGATTTTATTTAGGAACTATAATGAAAGTTTAAAATTCTCATAAATATATCTCCTATTAAAAATAGGTTCAGAATATAATAATTGTATAATTTTATGCGCATTACTATGCAAAATATTTCATACAAAATACAGTGTAAATTCTGAATATCCAATATTGTTATTGGTAGATTCTCATATTGATCAGAAATAGATTGATCAAGACCTGTTTGTTAGCAGAATACACAGAATTTAAATAATAAAAGTACCCAAGACTAGCAAAGTTATTTATATTGTACATACAATATTTACTTAGTTTAGGTCATTCTAAATGGATGGACGTTAGTTTACATTTTAGGCTTAATTAAAAAAAAAAAAGGTGACGAACTTCCATTCAATTACCATACAAATCAGATAACTAACTAGGATTAGATCATTTTTCATTGCTTCAATGACTATCACTTTAAGACTATGTGATGATTTATGAACTAAAAATGGATCATAAATAATATCCTTTTCAATGTGGTAATAAAAAAATTAATTATATCAACTAACAACAATCATTATGAGTAAAACAGCATTATCCGCCAATAAATAAAAATTACAGCAACTCAAACAATAAACCTATGAAAGAGCTCAAGAAGAAAGGTCCCTTCTCCATTAGGGGCAACACAAGTGATAAAGATTTCCTGTTTTCAAATCTTTTGCTCTTGTTAAAGAAAGGAAATAGTCCAGCTACTTTGAAGAAATTAAAACAGTTTTTCTCCTATTTTACACAGCTTACTGTCTATGATTCTCCTTAAAGATACATAGAAATTGTTCTTAGAAGAGTTGGTATCAATAGAGGGATGACCTCAATATCACCTCCTAGACTATCAATGTTTTATTTTAGAATGTAATTTGGGGATCATTAGGGGTTGCAGTTGTGATTCTTAACCTATGGATGTTCTTGCAGAACTTTGCTTAGTAACTAGAAATGCAGAGAGAAATCAAAGCAGTTAAATTATTTTTCTCTTTGCTTTTCTCCTCCAAGTGAAATAACAGTCCCCATCATTTGAGGTGGAGCAGTCAGCACCCCAGTCAATGGCAGATGGCAATATAGCAGTCAATGTGTCAACCAGTTAATAAGATTTGGTTTGAATTTCATGCAAAGCTACACAAGGGCTATTTGTGCTAGCTGTCTCTAATTTAGTAGTGGAACACTAGAGGGAAGGCAGCTTGTCATCACCACCAACTCTTGGGCTACTCTTTTACCGACATATAGTGGGATTGACCAGAATATTATAATGCTCCCACAGCTGAAAGGACGAGCATGTTTGGTGGGACAGGGGCTCAAACCTGCAACCCTCAGATTGCAAGTCAAGCGCCCTAACCACCCAGCCATGCCGGGCAGCTAATAAGGACAGCTGAATGTTTTACAATCTACTTACTTGAGGCTAAAGTGGAGGAAAAAAAAGTACAGACACCAGCAGTGGGAGAGAAAAAGAAACAACATTGAACTAAAAATAATATCTTATTTTCAGGATTTCATTATGCTGAATATATTGCTTTGGAGTTACATTATTTGGTCAATAGCATTGATTAAAATAGGTCATAAAAATAATAATCCTTTTAACATGAACTTTACATACTGAAAGTAGCAAATATGTTGTGAGTTTATGAACATATTTTAAAAAATATTAATATGACAAATATATATATATATTCCAAACTAAACTGTTAAAAAAATATTTTATTTTATTTATTTTTTTTTTTTATTTTTTTAAATTACAAAACTGTAATATTTATGTAATCAACAGCATTCAAACATTTTATACATTAAACAGAACATATAACGCCAGAACAAATATTTAAATAATTGGCACACTAAATTTTTCAGTGAAATAGTTATTAACTATGCCAAAAACATTATGAAGTACTAAAAGCTTAACTCACCCGTCCTGGAATGAAAATACAGATGAAGCCAAAGAGAATTAAAATCAAGACTGACACAAAAAGGAAACCACCACACAAGGTAAAATCCCACTGTAAAAATTCCAAGAAATGATTGAAACACACTAAAAGTTCTAGCTCTCTGGATTACAGTTTTCTTGTGTTTTAATATATAATCTTGAAAAACAGTTGAAACTCAACACAGTTTGTGTGTGAAAAAAACACTTATGTGCCATACTTAAAACAAATCTTCAGCAGTTCACAGAAAATAAGATATCAAATTTACTGAAATGGTACTTTATGAATACTCACCGTTATCAAATAAGAAATTCCACAGTAATTACATATTTCATTTCTAGAATTGGTTTAAATATTAGGGTCCATATTCAGTATTAAAAATTAGTGGTAGCATAAAGACGTTTTAAAGACAAAAACAAATCTTTCAGTTCTTAACAAATACTTGAGCTACATAAGTTAGTTGTATGTAAATTAAAATGTCTACCAATTTCATATCAACATAACATAATAAAATAAATCATTTACAAACCTTTGTTTGGAAAGCAAAAATGGTCAAACCCAGAGATACTACCTATGGTGGGAAAAAATTTTTTTTTTTAAATATTAATAATGAAAAGTTGACCCAAATGAGTATTAATTACCTTCTACAGTTTAATAGAAATTTTGTAGAATTAAACTTTCTATAATATTTTAAAGTGTTTTGGCAGACTTCATATGTTCAAAAACACAAAGCATATTATCACAGACTTCAGAGTATTATTTTTGATTGAGCTTTTTAGAGGTTACGTACATCGTCATTAGGAAAAAGTCACGACAATTATTTAAATAAAGATTGTATATCTATTCTGATATGAAGAGTGTTACCTAAAATAATTTCACAATTATCAACTGAAAAAAATTAGTATTAATTCACATGTACAAAAATCTTAAAAATAATTAGGTAAAATGTTACATATTGTAGTTATTTTAATCTGGAAAATAGCTAAGTATATAAATACAGTCGGTCAGTTATAAGGTACACGAGGTAGAGTGTAAATTCTACATTTATGAAACTAAATTCTTACAATGTGTGTAATAAAAGTTATCAACAGTGTAAATAAACTGATGTAGGCTGATGTATGGTCTCCTCAGTGATAAAATAAAAAAATTAATACCATCATAAATGATAACATGAATTTATACTTACTGCACAAATACCAACAGCCATGACCACTTCATCAGAATCATAACCCCTGACATCAAACAAAAAACAGTCAATTACCAGGTAACTTAAACGTTTATCTTCATGATAATTCTTCAAAACATTCAACTCAAAATGAGAAGTAAACAAAATTAATAAAATCTATGACCCAGAGGATCATAATCAGCTAACAGGATGTAACATTAACATTAGCAGATTTGTGTGCGTATTTCGTATAAAAACACAGAAGCTCATAACCAGCTAACAGGATGTAACATTAACATTAGCAGATTTGTGTGCATTTTGCGTATCAAAAAACAGAATAATAAAAAATTATTATTCTTTGTTTGCTATATATTGTCAATGGTGAAAATAAGCATATTTATGTTTTAGATAAGCAGACATAACAGTTAAAAATATAAAGGGGAAGATTTAAAACCTTCCATTACTGGACGTCTCCATCACATACATCAACTGTGCAAAGGAAGCAGTCTAAATAATAGTACTCACATAGTATCTTGTGGTGTTCTGTTTGTATTTTTATTAGTTGGCAACATGTACCTTTCTTGCTTAGTGAAACAAACAAACAACTAAAAAATACTAGCACTAACTTGAACACTAGCTTATCATATGTCTTCTTTATCAAATAGACAGAAAATCAGTTAACTTAAAAAAACAATATCGAGTGAAACCATACTTTTCAAATCCTAAACTTCTCCCCACTCAGCTATACTGATTCATTACAATATCTTATTTAGCATTAACTAACTACCACTCAGCTATACTGATTCATTACAATATCTTATTTAGCATTAACTAACTACCACTCAGCTATACTGATTCATTACA